CTATTGGTTGTTGCCTAATGTTTTATAGTCGTAGGCATGAAATCGACGTCCTTTCTATATCTACATATTGATGTCTCATTGTCATTCTTTCTCATCCTTGAGTAAATTAATTTTTTAACGAGTATGTAAATAATTATTTAAATTATATTTTCTCTTGTACTAACATAAAGTTTTCCATATTCATCATATGATATTACCTCTAAAAACTTATGATTGAATTGTTAAATCCATACTTCCATCCTGAAAATATTACCTCCACCATTGATAAAGAAGAAGATTAATTACCCAACTTTTTGCACCAACGGTTACGACTTTATTCAAATGGTATAAAGAACATATACCAAAGTATACTCTCAAATCTCATAAATTATAAGACCATCCACCGCCTCCCTCCAATCGACGTTGTCATGAATATTTATTTCTACCCCTCCCTCCTTTATTTCCTTCATTTTTATAACAACTCTTAGCTAATAAGCTCATCAACCAATTAGGATTGGGTGTCAAACCCATACAATTAGCTTGATTTAGGTGTCAATTCATGACTAAGATGACACCAAACAATGTAAATTCATTTGGTAGCTCATAAAATGCCCAGGCTCAATTATACGTTAATACACTTACATATTATATACGATTAGTTTTTTTATTTTTTTTAATAGTTTGGGAGGGTTGTAAGGTAATATCTGTTTAGAACTTTTTTAATATATTGATAACACACACCCTGCAGATACAGCTGCTCGAACTTATGATCTGTAAGGAGAATAACATTCCCATTTATTACTGATATATAGGGATGGACATGTGACCCGAACTCGATAGGTTCTGACCCGATCGGGTTGGATTTTTTAAAAATAATTTCAGGTTCGGCTTGGATGGGGTCGAGTTTTTTTAGAGGTTATGTTAGGATCTGGTCGAGTTCAGGGTGAAAAATACTCGACCTGTCCCGACCCGAAAAAATATAATTTTACCTTATATATTTAATGATAATTACAATAATACCCCTCTATATATTATTTTTTCAATTAAATCCATATTTTTATCCAATAAAAATAATATTTTTCAATAAATATATTATTTCGGGTCAAGTTCGGATTTTATCTCAAAAGGTCGGGTCGGGTTTGAGTCCAGTGGATGGTGTATATTTTTCGGATCGGGTCAGTAGAGGATGTATAATTTTTAGTTTAAGTTAACCAGAAACACGATCCATGCCCATCCCTACTGATATCGTTTGATGGATTTAATTTTTCATTATCTTGCAAAAGAGTTTTTGTTTTTAAATTATTAAATAAATGTCCCAAGAGAATTTAATAGAGGAAAAAAAATGGTGCTTCAGTTTATTTTGGTGAAGTCATTTAGGGACGTTTGGATGGGCGAATGTGGGATTCCCATATGAATGGAATCCACATTTCCCGTTTGGTTAGCCCAGGAATCATATTCCCGGTAATGTAAGATTACCAATAGTGGATTTTTTGGGGTATATTACCGGGAATGTCATTACCTCCATTTCCTTAGGTATTGTTAGATTACCGACGTTTTGGACTAAAATGCCCTTAAAATTTTTTTCTTTAAAAAATATCATTATTCTGACATTGAATAATAAAAATTCTACGAAGGTTAAATTACAAATTTATCCTTAAACTATTTTAGATTTACAAAAAAAATCTATAATTAAAAATTTATATGAAGGTCAGGGGTTAAACTAAAATTTTACCCTTTCATTAAACCTTTTTATATTTTTAATTTTGTAAAAAAAATTATATGAATTATATGAATTTAAATTTTTTTAAGAAAATATATAAATATTTTCCAACTTGTTAAAAAACAAATATATAATAAAGATAATTTGGTCAAATATATATTCCAATAATCTTTTATTCCTTTAACCAAACACAGTAATCTTACATTCCTGCTAAGACAACCAAACACAAAATACAACCAAACATAAAATACAACATTCCCAGTAATCCTATTCCCTGGTAATCTTACATTTCCACTGGTAATCTTACATTTCCACTGGTAATCTTACATTTCCACTGGTAATCTTACATTTCCACTGGTAATCTTACATTCCCACTGATAATTTTACATTCCCACTGGTAATCTTACATTCCCACTAATAATCTTACATTCCGTGAACTAAACGCACCTTAGGAGATTAGGTTTTAGCAATAATGAAAGCAAGCTAAAACATTAAAGATTTTAAGAGGGTCGGAATTGTGGGGATGGTTGGCAGTAATTTTGGTGTGAAGAAAGCAACTAAGTAGTGGGTGAACTGTTGGAAAGTGGTGGAGGTCAATCTTGAATATAGATAATATCATTGAAATTTAGGGATCAAAGGTTGGATTCGAAGGAAAAATAATTAAAATTAAGGATATTGTAGTGAATACTTTTAATGTATGTTTAAAGTTATTGTATATAACAATATTTTTTTATTAAATATGCATGAAATTCTAAATTGTTTATATAATCATGTTTTAGTTCATGTTTAAATTTGAGAGTTTATCTTTTCGAATTTTTACTATTTAAATATGTATTATTTTTAGATACAAATTGTACATTTGAATACTTAAATCTATTTTAATTTGTAAAATAGAGATATATTTGTTTTTAAGAGACTTGTATTGGATTCAAATTTATGTGAATTAAGATATTTAATATATAATTCAAAATATTAAATTTAGATTTTCTATAAATTTAAATATATGTTAGATAATAATAATTAATTTAGATTCTGATATTTATATTGAAATAACTCATTGATAAGAACAATTTGAATATTTAGACAGATTTTTTTAATTCATATAATTCAAAATTATAGACATTTAGTTTGTTATCATTTCTAGTTATAAAATACAGTTGATCTAGTGATGTGATGCTTTAGGTCTCTTAAAGAATATTTAGGGTTTGAATTATGGTATTGTGAATGAAACGAATATATTTAGAAGAGTTACTCCCATAATAAGTTTATATAATACATGATTCAAATTAATCAATCAACCGATTAAATACCAATAATTATAAAAAAATACTTTTCTTTATCCCTTATTTAGGTTTAGGGAGGTTTTTTAACGAGTCTTCTATCGTATTGTCTTGTTTTGTAATTTTTCGATCAATGGAATTGTAGAACACCCCTTTCAAAAAAAATACTTTAAAGATTAATTTATATTATAATTTTTAATAAATAAAAATTAATTATAATTTTTAATAAATAAAAAGTAATTATAATATTTGTATTTACTACCATATTATTATTATAAATAATATATTAACAATTTTAAAAATATCTTAAAAGAACACATTAACAAGATATTATGACTTTTCATCCCTCAATTTTAAAAATAAACATATTAACAGTTTTAAAAAATACTTTTAAAGTTTACCATTATTTATTTGTTAATATTAAGATAATATTCTGACCTTTCATTTATTAAGCATTTTACTCAAACGTTTTAACTAATTTACTTTATTTTAAAATTTAATTTTGTTAATAATTGTATATAACGTTAATTAAAGATTAATTTACCATAATTTAAAATTTTACATGAAAAACATTGTCTTCCGAATTTAAGAGAAAATTGGTTAATTATTATACTAATAGATTTTCATGCCCGAATCAATTGGTATAAAAATCTAATATTTTTACGATTATTTCATGCCACAATCCCATGCGAGAGCATATTATAACTAGCACAGTACCAGACAATTAAAGTGATTTCAGAAAGAGCATATTATAAATTAGAGTAAATTACGCGTTTAGTATATAAACTATCAGTTTTGATACATTTTCGTATCTAAATTTTTAAAACCATGCACAACGTTTAGTTTTTATTTTATTTAGTATCTTGCCGTTACAAACTTAACACATTTAGTACTTAAACTATCAGTTTTGATCTATTTTAGTACCTAAACTTTAAAAAAATAAAATAAAACTTAACGCTATATTTTTAATGGGATACTAAAATGAAACAAAAATTAAATGTTAGGTATGATTCTGAAAAAAATAAAAGTTTAGGTACTAAAACGGATCAAAACCAATAATTTAGGTACTAATTGCGTAGTTTATCCTATAAATTATAGATCCGCGTTTGTTTTAGTTGAAACCACAGCAATTAATTTGGATCGCCCCTAGCGTGTTGACTAGCCTTCCGTTCCTGTTTTTTGCTTTCGTTTGTGTATTGATTATCATTGTTTTTTTTTTTATCAAAATTAATATTTAATATTTACGTCCATCGTAATCTTTCATTCTAATTTCAAACCTTAATTTATTAGTATTCCACATTAAGAGGTTTCCTTTAACTATTTGTATTTGTCCACACCATGGCAACCTCAGTTTGCTGTAATTATCGATGATTAACGTAATTTATCTGGATTTGTATGATGATATCTACCATGAAATACTCCAAAACTTTCATTTCCTTCTAAAAGCTCACCGTATTTGGACATACGCACTATTTATCGATCCATGCAATCTTTAAATTGGTGATTGAGATTTTTTTTTTCCTTCATCGTTAAGATTAAGGAATACAACTAAAGAAATCAATTTTCAAAATCAATATGATCAGGGTATATAAATATAGACTTTCAATGTACAAACCCATATTTATTTTTGGATAAACTACGTAATTAGTCATCCAATTATCACATTAGTTTCATTTTAGTCATCTAGCTATTATTTTTTCAAAATCATACTTAACGTTATATTTTAGTTTCATTTTGATCAAACGAAGTTAAAAATAAAAAACTAATGATGTTGTATTTTTTTTATTTTTTCAATGATGACATTGTATTATCTTATGGTGACATATTATTTTATTAATTTTTTAATAACGGACGACTAAAATGAAATCAAAATGATAAGTAGATGACTAAATACAAAATGTACTCTTTATTTTTGTATAATTTATTTATGGAATTATTTAACCGTGCTTTAGTTAAATAGTTAATTATTGTAATAAAGAAAGAAATAAGCAAAAAAAGAATAAAGGGTAAATGGTATATTAAATGGAGGTGTGAAAGTTTTGATAACAAACACGAGAGTTGTCTCATCCCATCCCGAAGAAGAAGAAAGCAAAGGCAACAAATCCAAAGCAAATAAAAGAGTGAATTGGACTCATTCTTTCTTTCCCCCATACCCATTTCTCTCTCTGTTTCCTATCTATATATCATCTAAAACAACGCCGGTAAGATAGAATAACGAAGAAGAAGAGTGATTTTGCACCAGGCATCGGCTTCTTGTTCACGACCTTTGTCTTTCGTTATTGATTTTCTTCAACTTTATTGCTTTCCCGTTACACTGTTATCTTTAATGGCCGTTCAAGCTCAATACCCTTCCAATGTCATCTTCCTCAACAGGTTCGTCTTTATCTCTCTTTCTCTGCCTCTTTAATCATTTCTTATGTTTGTTTATATTTTCTTTTTTGTTATTTTTCAGAGGAGGACAAGAGGGGAATGAATTTTCATTGCAGCAACAAGCAGGAGGAGCTTTTCTGGATCAATCCCATATGTTCTTCAACAATAATAATATCAATCCGAGGAAAAGAGGACGGGAAGTTACAGCGGCGGCGACAATAACAACAACGCCGATCAATTCGTTTTCTTTGCAAATGCAACCGCCGCAGTTGCTAGAGCTTTCCCCGCCCCACCAGCTGAATGCCGTCTCCACCGGCCTCCGATTATCTTTCAGCGACCAACAGCAAAGTCAGAATCCAAATTTTCAAAACAAACAGCAGCAACAACAAGATATTGTTTCCAGCTCCACTGGCTTTTTGTCCATAGCATCCGACGATTTGGGTACTCAAATCAAACGCCAGAGAGATGAATTGGACCGGTTTCTGCAAGCCCATGTACCCCTTTTCTCTTTCTTTCAAATGGGTTCTCGTTAATTTTTTGTTTGGGAAATGAAATTTATTTTGGGATTTTAATTGTTATTTTTATTATAGGGAGAAGAATTACGCCGAACGTTAGCGGAGGAAAGGAATAGGCACTTCCATGCGCTGCTGGTGGCGGCGGAGGAATCAGTGGTGAGGAGGTTAAGGGAGAAAGAAGAGAAGCTGGAGAAAGCATCACGTCGGAACGCCGAGCTGGAAGCACGCGCAGCGCAATTAAGCGTAGAGGGGCAGGTTTGGCAAGCTAAAGCTAGGGCACAGGAGGCGACGGCGGCTTCGTTGCAAGCGCAGCTCCAGCAAGCTATGGTAAGAGGCGGGACTTCTGTGACACAAGATAGAAGGAGAGGGGAGGAGGGGCTAAATAGCGCCGGAGGAGCGGAAGGGCAGGCGGAGGACGCAGAGTCGGCTTACGTGGACCCCGAACGGATGACAGCTTCGGGACCGTCTTGCAAGGCGTGTTGGACACGCGCCGCCTCGGTAGTGTTGCTGCCGTGTCGGCATCTTTGCCTTTGTACAGAGTGTGATCGAGTGGCGCAAATGTGCCCCGTTTGCCTGGCCGTTCGAAATTCTAGCGTTGAGGTGTTTCTTTCTTGAAAAAAATAAATTAAAATATTTAAAAAATAACTTGGCTCTCTATTTATTTTTTTAATTTAATTTCTTTTTGAAGGGTCTGTTACTAATGGTTTTTTACGGAAAACCCAGAAATTTTATCTTTTCTTTTACTTGGTTCCCAATGTACATAGGCCACTTGGGTAATGGCGTTGCCTTTCTCTTGTCTTTTCTATTTATTTTTGGAATTTTAAGTTAAAATATATTAATTCTTTGATTATGGTCTTAATGTTGTTAAATACGATGACAATTTTGATTTACTTAATTGTTTTGGCATGCTAAATGGAATAACAGTGCAATTGCTTTGCTACAAAGCTCTCTCAATGAGAGACAAAAATGCAAAATTTAAAATGTGGTATTTTTTTAAAACTGTCTCGTGATTTACTTAACTCCAATTGCTGTTAATGTTATTGCATACTCATCAATTTCATCGTGTTTTTTTAGGAGCAATGCAAATTCTTAAAAAAATCAGCACAACTTGTAACACTCGAAGGAGGAGTCAAATTGGGATTAATTTTATTTTTTTAACATTAAATGACCTTAGTGTAAACTACATAATAGTAGCGTTATATCCTCGTCCCTGGAGCTACTATGATCAACAACCACAATTCAACACGAATATTTTAATATTGTAAGCATAAAACAGACATCAACACATCAGAGAGATTTGAATTATAAATATCTTTACTCATTGCTTAATTGATGTTAAAATTAGAATGTGGTAGCACCACCGTCAGATATGTCAAATCACATCGTGAACCACCGTCAAACACTTCAAATTTAACTACACGAAAAACTAAAACTACTAATGATCTTCTAAGCACTCGAAATCTCACTTGATGGAATAAGATTCCAAACCTCTTAATAGAATTGCTTTGAATGATTTTTGGTGCTTAAAGACCTCTAGGCCTGCTTATTTATGTTCGATCATCTACGAAGTGGTCTCTAAAGTTATTTTTGAATCGTCTTAAAAATGTGATGTCTCAATGTATTTTTCGTAACAAATGTGCTTTTGTTCCTGGTAGACGTATTTCCAATAACCTCTTTGTTGCACATGAATTAATGCATTATTTGAAAAGTTTGAAAAATGGCCCTAATAAAGGGGTGACCATCAAACTGGATATGGAGAAAGCGTACGATAGAGAATGAAATTTTATTGCTTGTGTTATGAAGAGATTGGGCTTTAACGGCTCTTTTATCATGCTTATTTTGAAATTTAGCTCTTCAGTTTCTTTTTATGTACAGATTAATGGGCAGCTCTTGAATCTTTTCAAACTGGAGAGGGGACTTAGACAAGGAGACCCTCTCTCCCTATATCTTTTTCTTTTTTGAGTGCGGAGTCTCTCGTCCGCTCTCCTTACCGAACAACAATGCAAAAAACTCGAAGGGGTTAGAGCTAGTTTACATGGGCATAGAGTCAATCACCTCTTCTATGCGGATGGCAACCTCTTGTTTTTCTTTTCGGTGTGCAGAGTCTCTTGGATTGCCGCTTATGGTTGGTAAAAACAAGATGGAAGACTTTTCATTCGTGAAAGATACAGCAATCAAAAGTATTCACGGATGGACCAAGAACATTATCTGCTATGGAGGTAGGTAGGTGTTTCTCAAGTCGGTTGTTCAAGCCCTCTCCACTTATGCAATGTCTTGTTATATTCTGCTTGAAGGAGTTTTGGACGCAATTACCTCCCACATGCAGTCATATTGGTGGTCCAAGAGGCATAACACGAGAGGATGGGACAAGGTTTGTCGAGTTAAAAGAGATGATGGGATGGGTTTTTGGAACCTTAAACTGTTTAACTTAACTCAACTTGAAAATCAAATTTGGAGATTTGTTCATGAACCGAATTCTTTGGCGTTTAAAATTTTCAAGGCGAAGTACTTTCCGAACTCTTCATTTTTGGAGGCCAAATTAAGAGAGAACCCTTCTTATGCATGGACAAGTTTATATGGGGCAAAAGAGGCTCTAGTCGATGGGTTCTATTGGAGGATTGAGACTAATGGAAACGCACATGTTCATATTAACAAATGGGAAGGTATGGCCCATATTTCCTTTAGTCCATCCATGGAGAAGTCATTAGTAAATAAACGATTAACGCTTCAAAATATGGGGTTTTCACCCTACAATGAAATTTTTTTGGCTAAAATGTCCAAAAAAAGAATATGTGCCAAAATGACTATTTAGTCAAATGTTAAGTACTTTTTGCCCTAAAATAAATTGTTAGAATCAAAATGCTACGGAAATAGATGGTTGAGATTAACAATAGAAAATGTGAAGATATTCACTGATAAAAAGAGAATTAATCTCAGTCATCTAATTTCATTCATCGAATGATTTTAAATTTGTAAAAAAATTAAAAGAGTTTTACATTATATAAGTGAATCATAACCGTAATATATATATATATATACTCGCCAGTTTGATTGTCATAAAATGTAACGTAAATCATGGTTGTTATAGTGATGAAATAATGTAAAATCGCATATACCAACTAAGAGAGAGATTCAGTAGCCTACGTAATGCTAACATCACATCATCAATATCTTCATTTGATTGGGTCAGTTCTTGAGACAAAATCCCATGGATTGTACGCATCTCTTTTCTGCATGTTCATAACTCAATTATTCAGTATATATTCTCCATAAAAGTCTACAGTTACATTGGGTGAGTTTCGAACTCTTCAGAAAAGTGGGTTGGAGGGAATCAGGATTGATTTGTTTGTTTACACACATAATTAGGCTAAATCTGCTGTTTTTTAAATCTGTGAATAAAATTCTAAACTCATAGCTCTCTTTTGCCTTTGGAATTCTTGGAGCTGCTTTTCTTCGTAACTTGATAAACTTGTAGCAGAAGCAAATTTTTGCCTTTATATCAACTGCTATATTACAATTTACAAATTTACAATACAACGAATCTTGGAATTCAGCTAAAAAAAGTTTCCTTGAGATCCAAGAGAATTATAGAGCCAGAGAGGCATTAAAATTAGCATCAAATCCAAAGCTGTAGCTTTCATGTTTCAATGTACATATGCATTGAATGCAATTTTTCTTTCTTTTTAAACGAAGGTGTTTGTTTTAATGTCTAATTTTTAAAATAATCTGGTACGATTATAAGATAATATTTATTCAGATGTTTTCTCAGCCTATCCTACAAACACGGTTGTTCGAACCTGAGAATTTTAAGGAAAATATTTCCTTTTACCACTAAAGTCACTTAATAAATCCGTTCTACTGTCTAAATTTAATATCTAGAAACTAAACCAAGACTCTATGCTTTGAATAGATTGGATCAAAAGGCATATATAAAATTGGTAAGCAATAGTTTTATGCAACTTTAACAGTAAACATGCATGTCGTGATCACATGGCATGCCCATCACATTACATTGTCCAATTCACACAGTTTATTCATGACTCCATGTTGTCAAATTCATAAGTCAGAAGATGTCTCAAGGAAAAAGGGTTATATGTTTCCATCATTAGACTTCATGTTATTGAAGGATTTCTGACGTTTTCAGGGACCCAATAACAGGATTTCTCTTGAAAATATATGATAAATTATAATAAATCCATCGGTAAATAGATTCTTAATTAAAGATGAGACAACGACGAGAATACATAAAATTCATAAGAGTAAGGCCCCATGTTGTCCTGAGTTGTTCACTCCCATGCCTTTGAAAAATAAGTATGCAGATAATGGATATGAACCGACATATGGTGGTATAAAAGATTTGATAGATATACATTATATATTTATGGAGATGTAATTCGAAAATTATCAGCTTTCAGTCAGTCGAAAACCTTAGATAATATTTCTCCATCCACCGAAGTTGTTAAAAGATCTCTGACCTCCGAAATGAGAGTACCTTTTGATAGGTTAAGTTCATAGACAAGACATCTAGAAAGGATTTCTGACAGACTCATGTAATTTACCAGAGCAAAATTTAAAGTATGACTACTAGATTTATCTATCCTATTCACTTACGAATAATCATAATTATATTATGTCTGACACCACTAGACTAGGGTCACTATAAATACTTCCAACGCGATCTAGAGAGAGACCGAGTCTTCTACATTCTAGACAACATATCTCCTTCTTGATCACCTCTCTCTCACAGAAAAACACAGTCAACGATCGTCTCCTCGTCAATCGTAATTCTCCATCCAAACTAAAAGAGATAAACCATCAATAATCGGTGAGACCAATTTATTCTCATCTACAATACAGAGCGACCCTCATTGATATTTCACATGAAATCGTGAGAGAAAGAGGAAAGAGGAAAAAATGCAGTCCATGAAAGCAATAAACTTTTTTGGAAGTGGAAGCCAAACAATGTTGTATCTTCTTCTTCGGTGTTGTTATTTCGTTATCAAATGGCTGTGACACCATTTGTCTGGAAGTTCATGTAATAAAAAAAGCTTAATAACATGTTAGGTAATTTTACTGTTGTTTCAGCTTGTAAACGTGTCTTGAAAACGAGTACAAGCTGTCTTCTCGTGATGCCATCCTTTGGTCGTGTTTTTCTTTATTTTGACCATGACTTATTTTCAATGACTAGTCCTTTGTCCTCCCTTAATTATTCTCATGATGATAGGGTGAGATTGCGATTAAGGGAGATTGATTTTTCAATCTTCCTCTTTAATTACTTTCGATTTTTCAATCGTCTGCTTTGGTTACTTTACTTTTGTTCATTAAGCTATCGATAGTCATTCACTATTATGTTTTATTCATGATTGTCATGAATGTATTTCCTGTACTGTTTTAAATAATATCGTCTATGATTAATGCAATCTACATATTTATTTCAAAAAAAATATTTAAATTTATATTAAAAAAATGAATTACCATTAAACCAAAACATTTAGGGAAATTTAAGTTATATATATATAAACATAAAGTCTTGATTAATCTGGGGTAAGTATAAGATAATTTTTGTTTAAAGATAACTCTAAACCATATGACATTGAATGTTAATACTTCTGACATTCATGATGCTTGATTGAATCCAAAATTTTAAGAAATAACAACAATTAATTTACCACCAAGATCGCTTGATTTGTGTATATAAAATTATAATAACAATTAATTTAGTTTATCGATCAATCATTCAAAATATATGTTTTTAAATCGAATACCATTCTATTTTAATCCGAATTACTTCACTCTTATGTCTTAGTTTCGTCAAAGTGCTTGATGCTTTGCTTATTTAAGACTCCGTCGCACATTTCTTAATGTCTATTCGCCCATTCCAACTCCAAGACGATTGATTAAATCTATCTGTTATTCGTTTTCTTTTCTTTTTTTTATTTATTTAAAGAAATAATCCTTTTTAATCAAGTATTTGCAGAAAGAAAGAAAAAAAATCATAAGAAGCAAAACAATTGGAAGTTGGGATGCTTCTTAAAGAAAGTGCAAAAGCTTACAAAGCACATAAAGGGTAATATATTACTGTGGTCACTTTCGTTTTAAAAATATAATATTTTGATTACATTATTGATTTACTTCATTTTTATCAGTAAAACGTTAAATTGATGATGTCATATGTTAATAAAAGAATTTCATTTTTAATTTCATTTTTAAATTTTAGATAAAATAATAATGTAACATCTAAACTTAGATAAAATGTCAATTTAACTCTTAAAAATCAAATAAAATATCAATTTAATCTTTAAATTCTATCAAAATATCCGTCATCAATCGTTGCTCATCACCATCATCCATGGATGGATCTAGAGGGGGGCGGGTGGGGCCGTTCACCTCTCTAAAAATTTCAAATTCTTATATATTTTATATATTTTCTATTGAAAATATGTTTTGCCCCCCTAAAATTTTCTAAGTTTTGTTCCTACTTATGATTTTATAAGTTCGCCTTTTAACATGAAATCTTGTGCCCGCCTACATCAATCACTTTTGATCGTCATCGACCACTATCACCTACAATAATCGAACCCCAAAATTAATAGTTCAATCACTTTTGACCTCGTGGATACGAATATGATGCATCTTTCACCGAAAAAATAGTATGAACTCCACAAATCTAACCTAAAACTTTTGACTTTCTTAAAATTATACCATTATAATAAATTTATCATTAATATTATTCTAAAAATAAGAACAGCAATGTAAATCTATTCAATTAATGCAAAATGATACACCAAGACATTTAACAAAAATTTATACTATTCAGTCGTACTAAAATTTGAGAAAATTATAAAGCAATTAGGACCTAAGTTGAGCTCACATCACTATAAAAGAACCCTTTTTGCTAATAACGTAATTTAAGCCACTGGCTTGCTGCTAGTATTAACATGAATTTACAGCAGCTACTTGCTACTTTTAACTATAAGTTAGGTACAGCTCCTAAAATGAATCTTTAACGAATGCAACAGCCTAAAATTTACCGATATATGCTCAGGGACGGACACAATATATTATATTACATGGAGTGAATTTATAAAATTTTAAAAGAGATGTGAACTTATAAAAGTTTAGAAAGACAAAAATAAATTTTCAACAGAAAAAAATTAGTCGACTCTTATTCCCATATGTAATGGGGTAAGGGGGAGGTAGGATAGTAGGCTGCCCCCAACGTCAGGTTGAGAATAGCTTCCGTAGGAGACCTCCGAATTATGAAATGCCTCCGTGGGACTCGATCCCATGACCCCAAGGTTAAGAAGAGGGCGGCCATACTAGAAGATACAGATTGGTCATTTCCTGTTCAAATAGTCAAAGAGGATACTATCTCATTTGTTTTGAGGGGGCATGATGGTACAAGGACTTTTCTGAATGTAGAAATACGTGGCTATGAAGAAGGATCACGTTTTATAGTTGTATTCCGCCTTGGATCAACCAAAGGTCCTATCAGGCAAGTATACATTGTTTCCTAGATATAAATATTGATAGTTTGTGAGTAATTGCACGTTTATGTTAGTGTCTATTGACTTGTCAAAACTTGAATAAACAGGATTGAGAACTGAACCATTGACAAAACAATATGTATGCATGGATCAGTTTAGGAGCTCTTTCAACTACAAATTTTTCCTGGGAAGATCCATATGGACAAAAGTTCAGATGTTAAAATCAGCGGAGATTGCAATAACCGTGTCTGGAAAATCAATTTGGAAAGTGTTGTGCAGTCTCCTACAGGTGAAGGTGATCTTGGAATGCAGTTGCATGTTTTTGAAATAGGTAATATCAAGGTTGTTAGCTTTACTGATGATCGGACGTGGAAATTGAGTTCACATGGAGGTAGGTCTCTGACGGCTGCTGGAAAACCATAGGTTGATGTCACACCAATAGAAGTCATCATTGAGTTGGGAGTTGTTGGGGTATCTATTGTGGACCACATGCCAAGAGAGCTCTTTTACGTGTACCTTGACAGAGCCTTTATATCATATTCTACAGGCTATGATGGTGGAACCACCAGCAGGTAAGAGCTTCTATTTCATATATTGTTTGGCATGATGTTGCAGTTTTCAGCTGTTTGGAATTTTTTTCCTGGCCATTGTATGAATGTCCTGCTACCTGTTGAAAATTATTTAAACACGTTGTGCTTTCTGATCTAGTGACTTCTTTGAATTTTATCACACAGATTTTAAGCTGGATTATAATTTTAGAATCCCTAGTTTTTCTTGATTCAAATTCCTATTGTGTGCTGTACTCTTGCTTCATAAATGGAAATCCCGTTGCTTATGAGATGAATTAAATTAACAACATTCTTTTCCTGATTTCCTTTGCTTTTGGTTGCAACTTAGAAACTATTTTCAAGTATCTGTTATGTCTTGGATTTAAATATATATCATCTTTCAATTTTCTGTCTTGGTACTTTGGATGAATATGCTAAGAGATTCTGTTTCTTTCTTTCTTCTAGGTTCAAGCTCATACTGGGACATTTGCAGATTGACAACCAGCTTCCTTTAACTTTGATGCCAGTGCTATTAGCACCTGAGCAGATGAGTGATATTCATCATCCTGTATTTAAGACAACTATTACAATGCGAAATGTGAACTCTGATGGGATTCAGGTGTATCCATATGTCTATATACGGGTAAAGCTCTATCTGCATTATGCTTAGCATTAGGGTACACTGTTTCTTTAGACAATAGCGTAACTGATCATATTATGTTAATAGGTGACTGACAAGTCTTGGAGGCTTAATGTTCATGAACCGATCACCTGGGCATTAGTTGATTTCTATAACAATCTTCAGCTAGATCACATTCCCCAAAGTTCAAGCGTCACACAAGTTGACCCAGAGATATGTGTTGAGTAAGACTAATATTCAATCTCTTTTCAGTTTGAATCTTATAATGTTAAATAGACTGAAGGGGATTTCAGTGCTACACTGGGGCATCAACGATGTTGGCAAGGTCAATGCCTTGGTAGGATCTACGTATATGGCTGTTCCTTATTCATTATCTCTGGGGAGGAAAATAGCATGAAGTTATTGATAGTTTTTCTGATATTTTTCATGTTTCAGTCTCTGTAACTCCTTTCCTCATGTTGACCTTCCTCTGTCTGTTTGACTATATGCTCCTAGAGGGTGCATGCAAGTACACGTGCACATTACACTTGTTTGTGTTCTAGTGCTGCAGCCTACATATTAATCCACTTTAAGGAATACAACTAATGTTCTATATCCAAGTTGAGTTGACTTTGTTAACTATTTAAGTTTCAGGGTCTTCGTGTTCTTTTTTTCAGTATCTTCTGATATTTTCGAAGCTAAGATTACAATATTTTATTTAATTTTTATCACACCTTCATTCTCATGTGTAATAGCCGGCTAGTATGTTCAACTCTAGATACCTCCATATTTGCATCAAAAAAACTTAGGTGTGTGGTTTTGATTATTGTATGTGAATGTTGTTTTGTTCCTTCTTTATGTTTTTTTGACTAAATAAATGTTTATCTCTCTTGAAATCTTCATCAGCAAAGTAGCTGGAGATATAATGTGCTCAGTACTGACCTCTAAACAAATTCACTTTTTTTAAAAAAAAAAATGACCACGAGGCATCCCAGGCCAAACATTAGTTTGTTGTTGAATGCTAGTATGCTCAACATCCACTTGAATTCCATGCACGCATATTGTTATGTGAGTAATATTTTATGCAATTCTCATTCATCATTACTAGATTTTCTCCTTGAATGAAACGTGTTCCGAGAGAACTTATTTCAGTCTATTAAATGTATAAAGAAAATATCATTTACGGTTTGAACCTGAGCTGTAATTATTATTTTTCTCTCTTCTGAACTTTTCAGCCTGATAGATGTTTCGGAAGTAAGGTTGAGAGTTTCTCTTGAGACAGCAGCAGCTCAGAGACCTCAAGGGGTTCTTGGTGTGTGGATTCCTATACTTTCTGCTATTGGAAATGCCTTCAAATTTCAGGTCAGGGTCAGAGAACATTTTGTATCACTTAATATTGCAATGACCCTTCTTGCTAAATCAGCATTTAGGATATTTGAGTTCAGGACAGAAGTCTACAGGGACTGTAAATATCAGGCTACTGATTGATTTTTTAATTATAGGTGCACCTGAGAAGGGTGATGCGGAAAGACAGATTCATGCGGAGAAGTTCCATACTTCCTGCAATTGGAAACCGTATTTGGAGAGATTTGATTCATAACCCTCTTCATTAGTAGATGTACTTGGTATGACTAGTTCGACCTTGGCTTCTCTGAGTAAAGGATTTGCTGAGCTTTCAACCGATGTACAGTTTTTGCAATTGCGCACAAATCAGGTAAGTCTGTCTCTTTTATTTTGTCAATAAGTGGTTATTAAAAAGTTCGAAAACCAGATCCTAACTCAAGATTTTAGGTGTCATCAAGGAGAATCACTGGAGTACGTGATGGAATTGTTCAAGGAACAGAAGCTCTTGCACAAGGTGTTGCTTTCGGGGTGTCTGGAATTGTGAGAAAAGCAGTGGAAAGTACCAGACAGCAGGGTTTTGTGGGACTTGCGCATGGAATTGGTCGTGCTTTCTTAGGATTTATTGTTCAACCAGTCAGTGGAGCATTAGATTTCTTCTCATTGACCGTTGATGGAATTGAAGCTAGTTGTTCCAAATGTTTGGAGGCTTTGACTAACCATAGCACCTTCCAGAGAATTAGAAACCCCCGTGCAATTCATGCTGATGGCATTCTTAGAGAGTACTCTGAGAAAGAAGCTACCGTTCAGGTATCTTGTAGCCTTTTTTGAGATGGAAAAAGTGTTCCTGAGATGTTTCTGCTTAGAAAAAGTGTTCCTGAGATGTTTCTGCTTAGAGAAAGCTATCATTTTACTTTTTGTCTTTGGAAGTTAGGAATGAAATGTATGACCATGGACTACTCAAACCTTGATTCATCTTAACTAGTAAGCTTCCAACCTAAAATCAAATAGTATCCCCGAGTCACTATATATTTTTAATTAACTGATAGAAGATAACACCACTCCCGTCACATGTAAGCCAAATATTACTCTACCAACAAAAGCAAATAGGGCTTATGCGTAGATTAACAATGGAAAATCTAGGACTTGACTGTTTTCTTGGTTTTGTTTCAGATGGTGCTCTATCTGGCTGAAGCAAGTCGACGTTTTGGCTGTACTGAGATATTTAAAGAGCCCTCTAAATTTGCTTGCTCTGATTATTATGAAGAGCATTTTATTGTACCATACCAAAAGATACTTCTAGTGACCAATAAACGAGTTATGCTATTGCAGGTGAGACAAGAGGACTTGGGCTATGGCTCATAAATATATTTTCAGCTGATTTTCTAATGCCCTTTTTTCTCGTTGTCTGCAGTGTTCATCTCTCGACAAGATGGACAAAAACCTTGCACAATCATATGGGACGTGCCATGGGAAGAACTCATGGCACTGGAGTTGGCAAAAGCAGGCAGTCATCTTCCTTCTTGCTTACTCCTCCATCTTAATAATTTTAGGAGATCAGAAGCTTTTGTTAGAGTCATAAAATGCAGTGTTGAAGAAGTTGAGGGAACAGAACCGCAAGCTGTTAAGATCTGTTCGGTAGTGCGTAAGATGTGGAGAGCACATCAATCTGAGCCGAACAGCATTGTGCCAAAGGTTGGTACTTGGTATAAATCTGTACGCTTTAAAGATGTCATGTGAACAACACTGACAAGATTTTACATGTGAAGGTTCCTTCAAGCCAGAGGCATCTGCATTTATCTTGGAGTGAGACTGATAAGAAAGCACCACATGCCCTGAAGAAATCCATCATTAAATCGGAAGAGCTCTCTGCATCATTTTCTGCATCTGATGGAACAAAATTTGTTGAACAGTGTAAACTTTCTGAAGATCTGGAGCAGCGAGAGAGAAGTGAAAGGCCGATGTGCATTATGTAGAAAACAGGTGATGTATTCCTTGTCATTCTCTTCTTGTTTTACCGTAGATTACTTCATTCCACAATCTTAACATAAATAGTTTATGTTGTCTACTAGGTCACAGATGATGGCGGAGTATGTAGCATTTGGAGGCCCATTTGTCCGGAAGGGTAATTACAAAGTTCTTTGATAGCTCTTTTTGACTTGTCTTAGATTCTAACCACATTATAACTTAGAAGCTAAATGCGGATCATTAAAATTAAAATTTAACCTTTAAGAAACTTAGTTGTAACAAGCTCACTCAGTAACAGTATATGAATTAGTATGTTTTATGAAATATGGAATATTGAGCGGAGTTTTGATTCTCAAACCTTTTATACTTATCATCACCTTAAGTTGTAATTGCTTATTTTGGCATTAATTTCGTTGTTGCATCATGGCTTCGTTTCCTTCATGTATGTGTCCATTGGTGACAGAGCTCATGTTGGGAGCCATCCTTTGATCTCAATTTTTATCCTAATTGTCACATTGTCTTGTTTTTTCCTCCTTTTTACTTTTGCATTAAGTTTGGAATTGGATCATGATCTCTCCTTCAGGTATGTGTTCATTGGTGACATAGCTCGTGTTGGGAACCATCCTCCTAATGTTGCTGCTGTTTACCGGAAAATTGACGATCTATTTGCGCTTCCTGTAGGTTATGACCTGGTAAGACAGAGCAAAGGCATTATGAAATTTTATCTTTATACCCATTTTGTCTTTTAGGGCTTGTAAGAGTAAATAAATATCCTAATTTGACTTGAGATTGTTAGCCAGTGCACCATTTTGGAAAGGCAGTTCATATTGAGTCTCTGCAGGTATGGAGGAACTGTCTAGATGTCCGGTCTCGATTTGGTATCCAAGGGCTCCTGCGGGATTCATCTCTCCTGGATGTGTTGCTGTGGCAGATTTTGCCGAGCCGGAAGCTGATTTGGTACATTGTGTGGCAGAAACACTGGGGGAGGAAACAACATTTGAGGAGCAAAAAGTTTGGTTTGCTCCGGAATCAAACCCGTGGGGTTGTCATGTGTACCAAGTCCAAAGTGACGCTCTTCATTTTGTTGCTCTAAGAGAAACTAAAGAAGAATCCGGGTGGAAGCCCTCCAGGGTTCGTGATGATTTCCAGCCTTTGCAATCATCGGGATCTGGGTGACATCTGGGTTAAACACAGAAGGTGATGAGGTTCTGTCAACCAATAGGATGAAAATTGTTTGATGTTCCATGATTCATACAATTGTTTTAACAGGCTTCTGAGAATATTAGAATCTGGTAGATATGTTAGAATGGTCAATTCTTTGATTATGAACTCTGTCTTTTTCTTATACATGGAGTGAGATGGAAAAAGTAAATAAATTTGTAGTTTTATGGTTGAAAAAATAATTTGAGACTTGTATTGATTTTTTTCCAAGGAGTCCAAGCAAATTGTTTTGTATAATTAATTTGATATAAAAAATACATTTTCATACATGCAATCAATTTTATATTATTTAATTAGAAATATATTAAACTAATTAATAAAATTTTATTATAAAACAATTTATATTTTAAATAATTCACTGCAAATGAAATAATTAAATTAGGGAAAGTTTATACATTTTTTTTTTTGAAACTTTGTTAATATTATTATGAATATCTATTTATGGCTATAAATATAGAGGTTAGAGAAAGCATGGTATGTAACTCATATTAAGATAATAGTACGGTTTTCTTTTATTATTTTTATATAATATAGGATGATTTCAAGTGGTAATATATGTTTTAAAAATCCAATCATTTGACAATGAACGTTCAGATATTTGTATCATACACAACTCATATTAAGGTCGTTTGATTCGTACTTGAATTTATTTTTTAATATAATATAATTTATTGAATTAATTGATCATGTTACAAATCGATAATTTGTCTGGCAATGAAAATAATATATTTATATTTCTGAAGATTCACCGACTGTGGAATTCACTTTTCTATTCAATTCACAAGGTCTTACAATCACTATTGTTGCAATTTACAAAGCAATAATTCTACATTCGAAAATTCTCGCCATTTTAGGTACCGTCTCTTCTATGTTCCATCCATGAATTGTATTATGAAGTAAAGGAAAAGAGGGAGAAAAAAGGAATGCAAAGACCAGAAGTCTTCAGGGCCATCCCTTTTGTCTTTAAGCAGATCTCTGTATGAGAAACCTTAAGCTGCACAGCTCAGCGGAAGCATGGGACATCCAGAATTTCATTCATAGTTCGAACTTCAAGCCTTATTCGATCTTCGCCCGCCACCCTTTCCGGTGGATGATGTATCAGCAGACTTGTCGGCCGAAGAACTTGCCTCTTCTGATTCTTGTATTAATTGCTTCAAGCTCTCTACCACTCGACTCATTGTTGGTCTTTCTTTGGCATTTTTGTTTAGGCAGTTGTTGGCCAACTTTCCCACTTTTTGAGCTTCACTGAGTGAATAGTTGCCTCTAAATCGAGGATCGATTATCATGGTGAATCGTCTACTGTCGGGTGGGAACTGTTTAACCCAGTCTAGAAGCTTCTGCTCCGATGTTGGTCGGTTTCTTTCGATGGTTCGCCTCCCCGTGAGGATCTCGTAAAGTACCACTCCGAATGTCCATATATCACTTTGGATTGTGAGATGGCCGGTTTCAACATACTCTGGGGCAGCATAACCATAAGTTCCGACCACCTTTACGAAAATGAAAAGAAACACAAGTCAACTACCTTAGTTCAACAAATGTTATGAAATGCATCATGACGCTCAAAACAAAAAGGCAACTGTGACTCATGATGTTGGAATTAGAAGATGTAGAGCAACATATGAGATGCTGAAGGTCAACAGATAGTGGAGGGCGGAAGAACCAACAATTAAACAAGGATGCAACGCCAGATTCTTTGCACACATCAAATTAGACAATAAATAGTGCACTCTGTTATCTACTCACTGCCGTGGATACATGAGTACGATCACCAGTCGGCCCTTCCCTTGCAAGACCAAAGTCAGAGAGCTTCGGCCTAAAGTTTTCGTCCAAGAGCACATTCGAGGATTTGAAATCTCGATAGATCACCTATTCAAACAACACAATGCCGGTCCATTATAAAGATGGATTGAACAATCATTTGCAGTATATTAAAAGATAGGTAATTTAGTGCATTAGTTGTAATGGATACAGAAGCAGAGGACGATCCCAGGATCATGTTTCACATAAAAGAAGATTGTACCTTGACTTCCAATCCATCGTGTAGATAAGCCAGTCCTTCAGCAGCACCAAGCATAATCTCTAGTCTTGTTCTCCAAGACAACGTGGATGTAGTGTTAAAAAGATGATCTTCCAAGCTCCGATTAGGCATGAATTCATACACCAGCAGCCTTGGATCCCTCTTTCGCCATCTACGAGCAATACCCTAAAAGTTTTACAAGGTTCGGATGACTAACCACACCCAGGAATTGAATCTCCGCAAGCCATTCCTTATGACCCTACAAGGTTAACCACAATACCATAAGAAACAAATAAATTGCAAAGATTTTATCTTGCAAAACGAAAGTTTTAACTTTGAAGCAAGTGCCTGTAAACCGAGCGTGTTGAGCCTCTTTACGGCAACAACAGTAGGATCGCCTCGACCATTGAGAGGCCTAATTGATCCCTTATAAACACTCCCAAAACCGCCCTCGCCTATCTTTAACAACCTGTTGAAGCCGTTTGTTGCATCCTTCAACTCTTCTAAAG